GGGGGTCCCCGGCAGAAGGCGGCTGCGGAGCAGACCTGGGCCAGAGGCGCTGTAGCCCTGGGGTGAGGTGGCCGAAGATGGGGCACCCTCCGCTCCCTTGTGAGACCCAGCCCCGGCAAGGGCTCCTCACCTGCGCGTTTGGCCGGGCTCTGAGGCGGGAGGCATTGGTCGGTGTGAGCAAAGCGCACCCTGGGGGAGCTGCTTTGTCTTTTGCTCCGTGCCTCCTGTTCCTCTAGCAGTTTTTCTGCTTGAGTAACTTCATGACTCTCCTTCCACCTATATCCTTTTGTCTTCCACCAGCTAAAACTGCTCCTGCAGCAGCCTGCTGCTCCACCCGGTCTGGAAGCATGAGGAGAGGCGGTTTGGGAGGGAGGGCGCCTGAGCGCCCAGCAGCAAACATGAGGCATGAAGAGAAGAAACGGAGACGAAGGTTTGGCAATCCCATGCAGAGCAGAGCTCCGCGCTGTGAGGCTGTTGGCTGCCTGTGAGAGTCCTCCCGGCTGACGTGCAGAAAGCACACTCCACAATCTGTAAGACTGTAAGGTAGGTATGTTTATTTGGCGCTGGGCGGCACGGGGGGTAGCCCCACCAAAGTCGTGTGCTCCAGACAGTAACTTGCTCCTTCAATTTATACAGTCAAATATTATATATTCACCAAATTTCCCAATCCGCCTATACATATGCATGACTTATCCCCGCTTGTATTAAAATCAGTTCCAAAAAGTAATTTCCGTAGACTCCTCCCAGCTGCGCTTGCGCAGTGCCTCCTGGTGGTGGTCGTCAGGGGTCCCAAGATGAAGGCTCATCCTCTTCATCTTTTTTTTATCGTGTACTACCCCCCTCTGTAAGAAAATGCAAGACGCTCTGCCTCAGTTAATTCACACAATTGATAAGCACTATCAGTTCTCTGCAGAGCAACTATCAGGCAGTGCTGCTTCTACTAAATTCCTTAACTATTAGGCAAGGCTGCTTTTACTAAAATACCTTTAACCCTTTCCTTCATAGCCAGCCCTGCTGTTGCTCCCGCATCTCCATGCGGGTGCAGGCCTCTGTGCTGAGACACCCCGCTGCAGGAGTGAGCGCAGAGTCTCCCAGGGTGTTGTTTATTCCAGTAAATGTCTCCCTCGTAGCAGTGTTTGGAAAGTAAATTAGGTTGTTGTTTTGTTTTTTTTTCCCCAGCTCTGTGGGCAGCAGGCATTGAGAAATTTCAAATGATGGTTACTGTTCAGCTCAAACTCCCTGTCTGTTTTACCCAGGTACACAGAATCATAGAATCATAGAATGGTTTGGGTTGGAAGCAACCTTAAAGATCATCTAGTTCCAACCCCCCTGCCGTGAGCAGGGACACCTTCCACTAGACCAGGTTGCTCAGAGTTCCATCCAACCTGGCCTTGAACACTG